CCACTAAACCCACCAAAGCCACTAAAGCCACTAAACCCACCAAAGCCACTAAACCCCCTAAACCCACCAAAGCCACTAAAGCCACTAAACCCACCAAAGCCACTAAACACGCTAAACCCACCAAAGCCACTCAAGCAACCAAAAAGATGGCCTCCTCCTCCCAAGGATTGCCAGGGCCGCGAAGCTCCGAGAGGCCTTGGATGAGGTACGCTGCAGAAGTAGCAGAAAGTAGTCAACTGTACCAGGACCCCCCAAGGGCCCTTTAATGGAGCCCTTATGGTCCCTAATAGTAGGTATTTGGGGTATAATAGAGGGTAGTTGGGGGGTCTAGGTGTAGGGGCCTTAATAATTAGAATAGGGTATGGGGGCCCGCTATACCATAGTTATAACAAGGAACCCCAAAATGGTATATTGGTATTTATTCAGGCCCCGATAATATTGTCTAACGCGGCCTAGGATTTTTTTTGTCAACGCCTTTCTCCGTCAGCCCGATTGGTGCTAAGGAACGCCTGCTTCAGACGAGGCTTGCGGCTTATAGGGTTAAGGTTGTAGATAATGCGCTCATACCAATTTGAATAAGGCTCTGCGGTACCTTATACTGGAGTTCTGGGCGGCCTACAAGGGGATGCATTAGTCATTCTTCTGACCCTAAAGTAGCCGTTGAGGATATCTCGGAGTTCAGGGATGCGGGCCTCTGAGGCAATGTAGAAGCCGAAACAGCTATACATAGTCTTCCTTGAGCGCAGCACAGACCATGATGGGAGTAGGACTTTACGGGTTTATATAGGGTTTACGGTTTAGGGTCTAGGGCTTTGTTTTGACACCTTCTTTCCTCCTGCACTGTCACGTAGTTGGAATGCCGCAGCGGCTGAGGTTGAGGGGTTTAGGGATTTAGGGTTGAGGGTGTTAGGGATTATTAGGACTTTAGGGTTTGAGGTTTAGAGGTTTCTTGTGCTAATTTAGAACCCAAGTAAGAACAATAGTGTTAACATTTCCCTTGCATTTTATGACTTGCAGTAAAAATAAAAAACCATTCCTAACAACGCCAAGGGTTAAGGATTAGGGCTTAGGATCATACATGTTTAGTTAGGGTTTACGGATAAAGTTTCGGGTGCGGGGCTTAAGTTTGGGAGCCTTAATATAGGGGCCTTAATAATTACCTAGACTATTTTAGGGTTCCTTACTATATTTCGAGTATAATATACCCTATTCTAATTATTAAGGCCCTACCGTAATTGCAGACCAGAGGGCATGGAGACCAAGGTGACAGGTGCCAACCACAGAGAGGCGGCCTGGACTTCCCGGCGATGGCTTTGAACCGGGTTTGGGGTGTAGGGGGTCGCAGATGCTGGGGGAAGGGCCTTTGAGTTGCACTCTTTTTGGGCTTATGGCTTAGAGCTGATCTCTGGCTTGGACAACTGTGAACTCGTCTCACAGAAGTCATAGGCAGGCACCAAAGCCCTCAGCGAACGAACCGCTACTGCGAGGGATTCAGGGTTGAGGCTTCATGCAACTCGGGGATGGCAGTCCCAGTCCCGACATGTGAGGTTTGGATTCCCACTCTCGTTCCAAACCATCCCGGAACATGACCCCCAATGGGCAGGAGAGCCTAGGGCTTAGGATCTGATGTATGGTGTAGGGCTGAGGGCCTTAAGACCAAAGTGGAAACATAGGAATCCCAAAGGCCTAAACCCCAAACCCAAAACCCAAAACCCAACACCGAGCTTCCCATCCCCAATGCCCCCACACCTGGGCATGCCAGGAGGACAGGGCTCCTGATGCGTCGGCGCCGATCCGGCGCAGAGGCCCTGGTGGGGGCTCATAAGAGGCTAGAGGGTTTAGATAGGGTCGAGGGTTGTGGTTTGTTTTTCTTCTAAAGCTCCTTTTTCCATTTGTCCGACGCCCGAAGGTCCCGAAAGGCACGTGCGGCCAGGACAAACTTCTGCAGAGTTATCAAACAATCTGAGGGTTTCGGGTTTGGGGTTTAGGGTTTCGGTCCGAAACATTTTGAAGGGCTTGGGAGATGGACAGGCTTTGTGTCAATGTGTTCTACACTGATTCCGGAAGGATGCTTAAAGGAATCACCGCACGCATTGTTGTGATCTCGCAAACACCGCTTTGTCTTGGTTCGCGCGTATGTACGTGATTATGGTTGGTTGTCTGTCTCGTGCAAATAGCTTGAACGACTTGTTGAAAGCGTGTTCTTTGCGCTTAGGCATGTTTATAGTTGCTCCTGCTTGCTTGGCAGTCCACTATTCTTGCACCACGCACCATAAAGGGTGCCGAAGCCCACCATGACATTTCGGACTCGCCGCAAAGGCAGAACCGAGACGGTAACATAGCGGCCCTAGTAACTGGAAGAGGGTATGCGTGTCTGAGTCTTGTAAAGTATGGCAAATGGGAGAGGCCCCAAACCCTAGACCCTATCGGCTGTAAGGCTTGAGGGATACTCGTATTCTGCAGCAGAGCTGCACTGGTAGTCGATTGGGCTCAACACAATCACAGAAGCTAAAGACTCTCGCGAAAGTAAGAGCGCCGAGCTCTTTTCCCGTGGAGCGCAGAGCTCCGTCCGTGGCTCAAGATATCGGGTCAGCTCCAAGAAGGGGGCCCCCTAAGAGCCGAAAGGCTGTGGGGTGTACAAGAGCGATCACTGATACTGCACATGCCGGTACTTGCTGCACCAGCCCAAAAAAGAGACTCAGTGATTGCTCGCTCGGGGGCGTCCCTTGCGAATGAAATGATCTATGGCTTCCAAGGCACTTTTGCCTTGTTTCTTTCCTTTCTTGGCTGATGTGAAAGAAGGATCAAAGCGTATGCTCCAATGGCCCGTACGCAACATCTTCAGAAGTCCTTGCCGAGCTTCCTCTTTCTTTTTGGTCAAGGCGTCTGCGAGGTCAAAGTCAGATGCCAGCCACCGTAGACGACACCCAGCTCGTTGTAAGTTATCTCGTAGCTGAAACGCCTGTAGTGCTGCACGGATATTGCTGAGTCCCAGGAGTGGACTCTCATTTCTCTCCACGGCGTCGTAGCCGCCTCTTGAGTCCGTGCACAAGATGCCATTGATGCCTTCCACTTGTTTCTCGAGTAGCGCCACCAAGTCCTGTCGTAGGGGCCGATGAGCATGTTGGCCACCACCTCCATGAAGTTCTGACCACAGCAATCTTGTCCTGAAGTTGTGGTCCTCAGCCTCGAGAATGGACTGTACCTCGGCATCGTTTGAACCAATTGCCTTTCGCCGTAGTTTCCACGTGCGCCATCCAAGAACTAGCATGGGGCTTACTGTACCATCCAGGCTGCCTGGTCCTGCTGCCAGGGTGATCAATCCACCTGTTGAATCACCTTTGGGACGATTGCAGTGAGCTTGATCTCCCATGCTGATGAAAACCATGTCTCTCCAATGGTGAACATCTGGTAGGCGACGAAACTCCAACTTGAAGCTTTCACGGCGAATCTCACCAATCATCTGTTGGATCTCACGTGCCGTTGACATAGTGCCACCTGTGGTGATCTCAGTTAGCAGAAGATTACATCGAGCACATAGTTGTGGCTGCGTTTGAACGGCCAACCACTGTAGTTCACCCAACGCCGTTCTGCATGCATCAACATCTCGTCGAGATAGCACTTCATCACCACGAATGCGGTCCAGCTCAATCTCCACATCGGCGACCCCATCTACGTAGTACTGCTGGTCCACGAGGATCTTCTGGTAGCCTTGCTCATCCGTAGTCGTTGTGATGTCCGTTCCGGCGTGTCGGTAATTGCCAGACTTGGTCATTCCCCAACGATAGGCGGAGTCAATTTTGGCCTTGATAGCAAGCCATTCTTCCGAACCATCGCCAATACGATGAAAGTCATCAACATGTCCTCCCATGGCACCTATTGTTCGCGCCTCCGCTTGTAGTTGCGACAGCCAAATCCATAGACACCGTTCTCCAAGAACCGGTTGAGCTCCCAGTGAAGTGAGCGTCTTGTGCAAAGCCAACCATAGTCCTCTCGGTGCCGTGGTGGACCCATAAATGTTTCTCAAAATCCTCATGATTTGTTCTGGTCCAACACCAATAGCTTCGCGCAACTCTTCCACACCAGTAGTCCACAGCTCCTTGTCGGCCTCGGTCGGTAAGGTCTGTAGGAAGGCTGTGGCCAAGTCTAGTCCCTCCAGTGTCCATTGATGCTGTGCGGCCATCAAGTACAACAAGTTGCGACCCAGGCTTGACTGTACTGGTGAAGCTGTTTTGAAGGAAGGATCCAAGAGGTTAGGATGTTGAAATCCCAAAAGAACTATCCTCGCCTTAGCCTTGCGCATGCCGTCCTTGGTGTGCAGAGTCGAAGGATTTTTGTGTCGATCGTCCAATGCTTCTTGTCGATCTTCAGGAGGTACAAGCTTCCACGTAAG